TTGGCACTTCGGGGGAGGGGAGGGCGGAGGGAGCAGCGGAGGCGGGGGTCAGAGCCCGCTGCCCCTCCCCAGCGCAGCGGCAGAGCTCGGCCTGGGCAGCGCTGCAGGCGTGGCGCGCTCGGCCCTTGCTGGCGAGGCCCAGGTGGGGGCGGACAGCTCCGCTCGGCAAGAGTAACGTCTGGTTACTGTCTGCTTTGCCTTCTATTAAGTGATAAAGGAACTTGCAAATGTGGAGACAGGCTGTATCTTACCTCAGCTGACTTACCAGCCTCTTAGTGTTAGCATTCTGTCTTTCTAAACCAGTGCTGTAGTCTCTGTGGAAAACGTATTGTTGGTTGCAAAATGCAAAATACAAGCAAGAGTGACTTTATCAATTGCTATAAAAGTCCAAAGTCCTTATTTTTCAAATAGCTGATGTGATGGCCAATTGCCAGGAGCACATAATTCTATACAAGTAGCATGATTGGAGTATGCAGAGCATTCATCCCTTCTAGGAAGTAGGCTGATTGTTTCAATATACAGTTGTGTTACAGATGTAATTTTTAATAGACAAAGTGAATTTAAAACTGAATTCTGGGGCAGATGTTTCATAATCAAACTAGTGGTATCTGTCAGCACTCTGGGCTTCTTTATAGGGAATGCTGGTATTCATAACTACATTTGCTTACTGTCTTTCAGTGTAGATCTGTGCAAGTTTTCTAATGTGCACGGGTATTCATGTACCTAGTGTGTATTTAATACTTAAACCTCCACAGACATGTCATGCTGCCAAGAGAACTTTCAAAACAAGTTCCAAAATCCCATCTAATGTCTGAAGAGGAGTGGAGACGACTTGGTGTTCAGCAAAGTCTTGGCTGGGTTCACTATATGATCCATGAGCCAGGTAAGCACATCTGAACAAAATTAGATGAACAAAAGAGGCTAAAATATCAACTGCCTGCTGCTCAGCCAAAGTGTGTGGTGCATAATGGCTCCTGCTGTGGAATCTATCTGGAATTCACTACTGAATGTTTAGACTCCTCTTTATCTCCTTGCTATTATAGCGATTTGGCAGCAAAGGCAACATAACAGCTTTTATTCTAAACCTTTATGTCTTGGTCCCAAGACTGCAAAACCTTAGCTTTGTCCTAGGTATGTGTGGCCTATCAGTAAATAAAACATGCCAGGCGGGAAACTGTTCCTACCTGTGCCTATAGAAATAGGCTTCTTGTGAGCTCTTGAATAATGTTAGTATCTTAAGCAACTGAACCAAACTTTATGTAACAGCAAATCTTTAAATCATAAAGCTGACACCTATGTTTTGTACAAAAACTTAGTAGGTGCTCACATAGACAAGGTCCTCTATTAATGCTCTGAAAAGTCTACGGTATAGTTTGTACTCTAGTTATACAGCGTACTAAAAGCAGCAGTTACAGTTAGTCTTTTGCTTAATGAGGTATGAAACTCTAAAACTCTACGAACTGGGGTGTACTGAAAACAGCCATTCAAGATAACTTGCCATTGGCAAGCCTGACTAAAAAGTAACTGGTGATAGATGAGTTGCAGCAGCACAGAAGTCCATGTTTCTGAAGAATTAGGTGAAGAAATTCATATAACCTTCCAGTGTTTCCATTACCTGGGTGCTTTTGATACTTTAGGCTTTTTCAGAGGAGTTTACAATTAAGTCAGATCAACAATAATATAAGCTGGCTGTATTAACTAAAGCGGCTTTTGTTGGTGCTTGGGGCTGTGCACCTGACAAGGACAGCATCGGCAGTTTCTTAGTCTAAGTTACAGTAACAAAGCTCATCAAATAGCCCAATGTAGAGATGAGTTAGTACCAACACTAACTAAAAATATTCTGTGGTTTTTTTTTTTTTAGTACTTCCTTCCTGTAAGTATCTTAAGTTTATCATACTGCCAACATTTGGTATAAAAGTTTTAAAAGCGCCTGTCTGACTGCTGTAAGGTTACTGCAAAGTTGGTCTGTAAATACTACTCATGGAGCTGTATTTGTGGTCTTGGCTTCTTTTTATCTTGGCTATCTATTTATTATTTGACAGCAAGCTTCAACTATTGTTGAAGACTTCTTAAATGGAAGAAATCTATGTAATCAAGACTTAGGTGACTGACAGTTTGTTAAATTTTATTTCTGCAGAACCACATATTCTTCTCTTCAGAAGACCTCTTCCAAAGGATGAGCAGAAATGAACCATTATCTGGAAATCTTCTCCTAAATCATCTGGAACTATGTATATGAGCATGTATATATGTTGGTAGTATTCAGTGAATACTTTAAAATGTACAAAACATACATCCATACCTGTGCATGAGCTGTATTATTCACAGCAACAAAGCTCAGTCAAATGCAATTTCAAGTAGGCTGCTATGATGTTCAAAGAGTGATGAAGTTATCTTCTTTACTGTTAATGTAAGTGCCTATATGACTTTTCATTGAATTCTGTTTAATTAAAGTTTACGTATTGCGTGTTCTGACTAGATGATCACTTGTTGCCTGTGTTCAATAATTTTTGCACTTGGCTTTTCCGCTGAAGTGTAGCATGTTCAAATCCAGTGGCTCACCTGTTTAGTAGTAGGCATAAAAAAATAAACTATTTTTAATGCTCTATAAAACCTAAGTGTCTAGAGTTCTAATTCACCAGACAAAACAGGTATTCGTTGTCCAACATATGAAGAGTACCTGCTTCAAAAAAAATTAACTTAATGAACCTATTTTGTTGTGCTACAAAAATTCTTTTGCCCTACAGGCCAAAGTTCCTAACCCTGATCTGAACTGGGAACTGCATGCAATCTGAAAAGAAGGCTGGCAGTGATGGGCAAAGCTCAGACTTGGGTCTGACATCCTCCAGTTACGGGACTCTGTGGCTGATATAGAATAATTAATCCCATTATAGCCTGTAGTGACTGCTTGTCATCCTACTTCTCATGAGGTGTCTCGTGATGGGACACAAGGGAATGGTTTAATGCTTTGTCAGGGGAAGTTCAGATTGGGTGTTGGGAACAAGTTATTCACTGTAAGAGTGGTCAAGCACTGGAACGAGCTCCCTGGGAAGGGGTTGCAGCCCTAGCCTGTCAGTGTTCAAGAAGCGTTCGGACAATGTTCTTTGAGATACAGCTGGGTTCTGAGGTTGCCCTGTGTGGAGTCAGGACAGTGACTTGAACCTTGTGGGTCCCTTCCAACTTGAGATGTTCAGTGATGACTTGGTATAAACTTGTCTTAAGATGTTAAGCAGTACTTAGTATTTCACAGAGATGATATTATGCTTGTTTGATTTACTTCGGTAGTACCAGTTTCTCTTTCTGCCGTGAACTTTTTAGTCTGGGTTCTATCCTGCACTTCCTGTCTTGCATCCTGTTTCTTCTGGGAAGCTGGCTTGTACTCTGTAGCTGAGTGAAAAGTTGTGGGTTGAGATAAAAATAGTTTGAGAATTGAAATAATTTGTAATGAAAAGGAGGGAGGCAGAGAGAAACCAAAACCCAGGAAAGCCAAGTGATACAGCTGCTTTCCAGCTGATGCCCAGTCCATCCCAAGCAGCAATTGCTGCCTCTGGCCAACTCCCCCCAGCTTATATACTGAGCATGATGTCGTATGGTATGGAATAGCCCTTTGGCTAGTTGGGGTCAGCTGTCCTGGCTGTGCCCCCTCCCAGCTTCTTGTGTGCCTGTGGCAGAGCAGGGGAAGCTGAAAAGTCCTTGCCTGATGTAAGCACTGGTTGGCACTAAATAAACCAACAGGGTGTCATCAACATTCTCATCCTAAATCCGTAACAGTGCTATGCCAGCTGCTAGGAAGAAAATGAACTCTGTCCCAGCCAGAATGAGGGCAGTAGGCAGTAGAAGTGCTGTCAAAATGAACTGTGCTTTTTGTCTGACAAAAACAGCTGCTGGTTGCAGGAGAGTATGGCCTCGATCTCCTCACCCTACAAGAGGTCAGGTCTCATACAGTAAAACTCAGATCAGTCCTGCCTCAGTACACTGAGTGCCAACAACAGTGAGCTGCTGGACGGGCTCGATACCACAAGTTCAGAGGTGATAAACTGCATTAAAATGGTCACTGTAGCATCTCAGGACCCCATCCTAGTAGCCGTACGATCAGATTTTTTAGAAAAGTGCTTCCACACATTTGGTGTGTGAATAGCTCTGTGTAGTACCAGTGGCAGTGTCTGGTTCGTTCTAAGTGCAAGCTGGTGTTACATCTGTCTGGGGTTTGGGAGGCCAACAAACACAAAGGAACATCTGCATGTACCCTAACTGATAAAGCATGAGCTTTATCTCCCTGTGTAAGGTGTGTGCTTGCGATGAAGGTCTTCATAATGACGGACAGAGGCAAGTAACCAGCCAAATTTGGTTAGGAAAATAACCCTTGCGATCCTTCCTCCAAGGTTGCCAGAGATGCCTGCCTCGGTTGACAGTCTGTGACTGGCTCTCAGGCCGAAGTGTATGACTTCACCCCCCTGGCCCTTAGCGTGGGGCTCTCCACATGCCACGCGGACACCTTAGTTGGAAGAACCATCAGTAATAACCTTGCTGAGCCGTGCTTGAGCCGAGCTTTTCCCCCGGGCTCCAGCACCAGTCCCGGCTGTTGGCTTTTGACGTCCCACCGCCGCTGGCGGGCCCTGTAGGCCT